GAGACAGAATCTTACTCTGTGGCCCTGGGCAAAGTGCCATGGCATCATCATAGCTCACAGCAACCTCAAACTCTTGGGCTTAAGCAATTGTCTTGCCTCATCCTCCCAAGTAGCTGGGACTACAGGCACCCACCACAATGTCCAGCTAATTTTTGTATTTTTATTAGAGATACAGTCTCACTTTGATCAGGCTGGTCTCAATCTCCTAAGCTCGAGTGATCTACCCACCTCAGCCTCCCCAAGTGATAGGACTACAGCCGCGAGCCACCATACCTGATGACAAAGAATAACTTAAAGAGCAAATAAACCACGTACCTGGAGCTTCCCAGTAGGAAGAGGTGGGAGAAGCATTTTGCTGTTTTATTGAGCCACAAATACTAATGTCTCTTATTTCACACGCTGTTTGTCTAATTGCTTCATTTTTTGAATTGATATGTCAACTTTTCTGCTGCCTTAATCTTCCTATCTGTCCCCACTGCCTAAAGCCAGACCACTGGATACAGCAGACCCAGGAGATTGTTCAAGGGTGCAGGCAGGGGGAAAGGCTCTAGGAAGGAGGCCCTGGAGAATCCTCCTCTGTGAATTCAGAAATCCCTCCCTCAAGGGAAGGAGGCAAGCACTGCAGGCCTCTGGTCTGCTGGTTTGTACCAGGGAGTTCACAGCCTCCTCCCTGGCCATGAGCAGGCACGGTGTGGCCCAGGGAGCATGCTCAGGCTGAGCAAACGATGTCCAGGGGCCTCTGTGTCCCCTACTGGGACATCTTATCCTGCTGGCTCACCGAGATCTCATTCCTTATCCAACAGCTTTTGTCCCAGAGGAATCAGTCCCATCACATCAAAAATGTTGTGGTAACAACCTATCTCACACCTGGAGTTCTACCCAGCGCATGTGTGATTCTTGGCACTGGCAGAAGCCATTTGTGCTCAGGGCCAGCAAGATCCTAGCAAGGAGACAGGGCAAGGGTGTGCTGCTGGGCACCCAGGGAATGTCTGATCCCCGGAGCCACTGTCAGGAGCTTCACTAGAGGTGGCCATGTGCTCTTGGAGTCTTGAATAGCAAACACTCAGGTGCATCATCCAAGAAGCTCAGTAAAGATGGGCATCACCACTGCTGCCTGCCGAGCACTGTGACTACCTGTATGCATCACTCCAGCCTCTCCATGCTGTGGAGGAAGAACAAGCACCCCTGTCCCAGCAGCAGTGTCGAAGGCCAAGATGCCTGCAAAGCTACACAGGCAAGTGGCAGGTTCTGGACTCACAGCCAGGTGGGGCAGCGAGAACCCCATACTTTGTCCTCACCCAACTCTTGCTGCAGTCTCCATGTGTCCTTCAAACACAGGTATTCCAAGGACGATGCCCTGAATGCCAAGTCAGAGTCCCCACAACTGCCTTCAAGTGTGGAGCCCAGAGATAAGGCAGGTGGCCTTCCAGGACAGTCAACCTGGGGGACACTTTCTGCAGACCCTCGAGGGAGTTCCAGGTCACTTGGCCAAAGCCCACTCCACACTTCCAGGAGGGGTTAGACTACCACATTTCTCCAACAAGGAAGCCCCCCCCAACTCCAGTTGTTCCAAGCTCTCAAGGACCCATGAGGTCTGGCTGGCCCTGGCTTGGACTCAGACCACACATTCTAGCCAGCTCCAGCCTCATGGTTGAAGGAATCCAGCCTGGCCCTACACCACAGATGGCCTTACCTCAACCATCACACTGCGCCTGACGTGATCTATCCCAGTGGGGACCCTCCTGTCAGTGTGATTCTCCGCTGGGTGTTTGCCAGGTCTCCCATTTCGGCAGCAGCTCGTGTCTCCGTAAGCAAGGGCTTTGGCTGCAGAGATTTGATTGCTTACTCTCAGAACAGGTCCCCACCCAGGGGTGTCTACCCTTCCCTAGGAGTGCATATGTGCATATCTGTGCACAAATATGTAGGTTCACGTACACGTGGGTGCACTGGTGCATGGGTTTGTGTGTACCTGTGCATGCGTGTATGTGTGTATACACTCAACCACCCTGTTCCTTGGGAAAATCCTGACCTCACCTGCTGCCCCATCCACCCCTCACACCCAACACAGTTCAGCTCCTGGGCCCCTTGGTAACCTGGGGGATGCTGTGAGAAGCATGAGACCCTCACCTGTGATGTTGCTGAGGCCCAGGTCGCTGAAGGACAGGACGGCCCAGGTGGGCTCAGCCTCCCCAGAGGCCACACACATCTTCTTGGTCAGATGGCGCTTGCCAGGATGCCCAACAAACTGGATGCCTTTGGGAACCGAGAGCTTCACGTACACCTGCAGAGGGCGGTGTGTGTGTGCATGGTGCCTGGGGTCCAGGCCACCCTCTCAGGGCCCTGCCACCCACTCGCCTCTGAAGGCTCCTTCCATTTCTGATCATAACAAACTACACAACACCATCTGGCTGCCCAGCTCTGGCCTTCTCATGCCTGTCTGCTTTGCCGGAGTCCCCTCTTCCCTCCACCCCTGTAGGCCCCTGCAAGTCCAAATGCCCCACAGGACTGAAGCCACCAGCTCAAGGGCTGCCTCTCCTGCCATGTCAGCCCTGGGACTCCAGATGGAAGCAATTCCTCCCACCGGGGGTCCCGCTGGGAGCTCCGTGGTGGCAGAGTGCAGCTCTGTGTGTGTTCTTGTGTGCAGACGTGTGCTGTGAAGGCATGCCGTGTCTCTGGGGGCACTTCCATGTGCATGTATGGAAGCACAGGGTGAACACGCATGTTCATGTGTGCATGTAGATGTGGGTGTACATGCGTAAATGAATGTGTGCACATGCTAGTGTTTCTGTGTGCCCAGGTGTGATGTGGATGTGCTGTGGACACAGGCATGGGTCTTAACATGCAAGTGTATGTGTGAGGGTGTGCAAGCAGGGCATGTTCATACATGTATGCAGGCATGTACGCATGCACGCACACACCGTGGAGGCATGTGTGTGTGTGCCTGTGAGCTTATGTATATGCTAGTCTCTGCATGAGTGTGCATTTTCATTGTGTGCACATCTGTGCACTGTGTACATGTACATATGTGAGCCCATTTCCATCCCCAGCCCCATCTAGGAGGGTCTTCTTTGTTCCACATACATTTGTCCAACCATTATGCTCGTGAGCGATCCCCGGGCCTCAAAGCGTAGGCTCACCAAGGGTTGGCATGCAGGCTGCAGGTGTGACATGGAGGGAAGGATACAAGGACAATCTAAAGTGGCCAGCATGACCTGAATCCTTACAAAGGAAAGCCCCAGCCAGACCTGAGTACCACAGGCTGGTGCAGGGTGAACATTAGTTCCCACATCACTCTTGAGATGGTGTTATAGAAAGTTCTTCCAGGGCGGTGCCTGTAGCTCAAAAGAGTAGGGCACTGACCCCATATACCGCACTTGGGGGGTTCAAACCCAGGCCCAGCTAAAAAAAAAGAAAGTTCTTCCAGGAAGGAATGAAGAAACTCAACACCCATCAATAAGCCACTTTTCCAGGTTTTAAGTGATCAGCTGTCCCCACTGGGAGGCTCTGGATGGGACTATTTTCCTTGTGCCCTGGGGACATGGGCTGGGGGCTGCTCCAGAAATTGGTGCTTGGCTGTCCCTAAGCACACATGCTGCTCAGCAGGGCTCTGTTCTTCCTGCTGGACAAGCCAGCCACCAGCTACTTGAAGTGAAAACAGGTACCCGTGCTTCTTGGGGAAAGCTTCCCTTGGGGGACACCCTACAGGTCAGGGACTGAGCCTAGGTGCATTCTCTTTGGAACTGGGATCCTATTCCTCCTGGCCGTAATCTGTATTAAAAGAACAGCAAAGAAGGATGAATTATAAAGGCAAAGGCTGGAGCTGGGCTTTCGGGCACCAGTACCATGCGGTTCTGAGTCTAACACCTCCTTTTTATCCCTCAGTGAAGCTGCCCCATGGCCACTGCCTTCGTTTCTTCCTGCCGCTGAGGCTCTAGTCCAAACAGTGCAGGAGCCTTGGACCTCCTTCTCCTTTCCTGTTTTTCTACCTTTTGTCATCAGACCCCAAAGCCCAGCCAGCAGCCAGGCACGTGGGCAGCTCTTAGGACAGGCCAAGCTGCCTCCTGCTTCTGTCATTTGTACATGCTATTCCCTCCTCCTGGATACCCTTCCAGCCCCTAGTGCCTGGCTCAAACACAACCTCTCACAGTCAGAGGAGCTGTTCCTTCTCCAGGCTTCCCCCATACACCCCCACCCCTGTGAGCATGGATTCCAACACAGAGCTCAGCCACTCACTCCCTGGGGGCCTTTGGACACATGACAATGGTTCTCTGAGCTTCTACTGGTGAACGATTCTACCACAGTCCTTCTTCTTCAGCCCATGTGGGAGCTTGATAAGATAAAGCAGATAAACAGGCAGCCTAGAATCGGCCATGGAGGTACATGTCCGATACAAGCTAATTAGGTGGATTCTGAGCACTGAACACCTCTCTCCAAGTTGAGCTCAGTGGATCCCATATCCTGGGCAACAGGGTCTTCTGGTGCTGGCACAAGTCTTTTTTGTTGTTGTTTTGTTTTTCTCAAATAAAATTTTCTAATTAAAGACCTCAGAGACAAGAAGCTCCCATGTGACCGAACATCCCACATGTCTCTTCCATGAATCAAAATGGACATGAGGGGATCCAATGTTTACAGCAGTGTCAAACTCATCCTACAGATCAGAAGCCAGATTCCCTCTCCCAGTGCTGAGACCACCATACAGCAATCCGAGTAACATATGTGCCTTTGGGTGGACATAACCATTCAGTGGGATTAGAGAATTTGCAAAGGGAAATAAAGTGGTAAAGTATATTTTGTGAGCACAAAGTTAGTCTCAGGACATTCCTGTCCCCAGCTCCAGGGCAGGCTCAGAAGTGATGACAACTTGTAGCTGCCCCTTTTGCAGCTCCCAAGAGCCCCTTATATTTTCTCTTTCTCTCTCTCCTGCCCCAGAGACACCTGCAGGGGTGAGCAGGGCCAGTTTACAGAAGGGGAAACTGAGGCAAAATGAGTAGGTAGATGGAAACACCAAGCTAAACATGGCTCAAGAGGTCACCTGGGGCAGAGGGGAAGAACCATGGTGCAGGCTCTGCCACCCCCACTCATGACCCCCCCCACCCCAGAAGCCTTGGGTGCCCTTTGGATTGCACATTCTAGCCACCCCCTGGCCTCGTTTTTTCAGATTTTGTTTTTTGAGTATAGAATGTTGGTTTGCAATAGTGTCTTTGGTCTGAGGGAACAGCTCACATCTGAATGAGGTGTGGAATAACCACAAACTCAAGGGTCCCTGTGCACACAGGGAGGGCCAAGAGGAGACGGTCAGAGGCGCCCCCAGAGTCCAGCTGACCAGGGTGAGACCCTATCCCTGAGGGCTGCCCCTAACCATGGAGGCGCCCTCCTTCCCTCCATCCCTTCCCCTCCCTCCCATCCACAAGTATGAATAGCATCAAGGATTATAAAAATGTGGAGAGAGAAGGCTGTGTCTGTCTCACCCTGGCCATAGTATCCCACTGGTCCCCAAACACCAATTCTCCATCCTGCCTGTGCCTGCTGGTGGCTCCAATGGCTGCCTCTACCTTGCCTGCCATCACCAGGGTCTGAAACCCTTTCTTCACCTTCAAGATCAGCCCTAAGCCTACCTCCTTGGGCTTATTGTTATGGGTTGACACACCAATAGATGAAACAATGTGCCCAAGATCAGCGACTTCGTAAGTATAAACTGGGATTCCAAGTGCCTGCTCTGTTAACCCAAAAAGATATGTTAGTCCTAACCCTTGAGATCTGTGACTGTGACCTTACTTGGAATTAGGGGCTTTGCGGATGTCACCAAGTTATGATGAGGGCATGAGGGTGGGTCCTAAACCAGTACCAATGAGCTCCTTACAAGAAGAGACAAGACACAAAGACAGACAGAGAGGAGAGAAGGCCACACGACAAGGAAAACAGAGACTGAGGTGATATGTTTACAAGCCAAGGGTCCCCAACAGACACCAAAAGCCAGGAGAGAGGTTTGGGACAGACCCTCCCTCTCTCCAGAAGGAACCAGTCCTGCTGACACCTTGATTTCCAGGAGACTTGCAGCCTCCTGAACTGTGAGGGATAAGCTTCTATTGTTTTGAGCCACTCAGTTTGCGCGACCTTGTCATGGCCACAGGAGAATCAGACATTTCCTACTTCCTCTGAGAGGCTTCAGTTCTCCCATGGGTGCTGGAACCCCAATATCAGCCTCTACAAGAACTGTGACTCCATTGTTCTCAGCACCTGTCCAGATGAACTCAACCCTTTATCCATCAGTGAGGCTCTAACACATCAACAGAACAAGCAACGTTCCCAAGGCCAGTGACTTGGACTGGGATTCCGAGTGCCAACTCTATTGACCACTAGGATTTCCTGATGCTGTCCTGGGGATCTGTGAATCAAGGCCTACAGGCCAAACCTGACTCACTACCTATTTCTGTGGGGCCTGAAAACTAAGGATTGTTTTTATTGTTTAAAAATGGTTGGGATGAAAAAATTGAAGAATAATATGAAAATTCTATGGAATTCAAAGCTAGGTGCAGTGGTTCATGCCTGTAATCACAGCACTTAGGGAGTCAGGGTGGGAGGATTGATGGAGGTCAGTAGTTTGAGACTACCTGGGCAACATAGCAAGATTGTGTGCCTACAGACCCAGGAGGCTGAGATACAAGGATCACTTGAGTCCAGTAGGTCAAGACTGCAGTGAGCTATGATCATATCACTGCATTCCAGCCTGGGTGAAAATGCAAGACCCCATCTCAAAAAAAAAAGAAAGAAAGAAAGAAAGAAAAGAAAAGAAATATGCAATTCAGATTTCAGTGTCCAGAAATGAAGTCTACTAAAACACAGCCACACTCAATCAGGTCTGGACCACCAAAGGCTGCTTTTGTGCTACAGTGGCCAATAGGTATTGTTATGTCCAGCAATGATGGAAATAGCTACTAGCTGGCCTCTTACAGAAAAAAGCCCCAGATTATATCACCTATGATACCAGGGCTGCCATTCCCAGGGAAGTAGGGATGGTGACTCCATCACACCCACCTCCGCCCCCTCCCACACACACCCCACCTCTGCCAGGATGGCTTAGACAGCAGGTAGATTAAAAGCCAATCTCATTCTACCCCTTCCTCCCTGAGAGCACAGATGCTGTGTCTCCCCAGAACCCTCGAGGATGACTCCAGCTACCCGCCTCCCTGATGGCACCAATGCAGGCCCAGCCTGCCAGCAAACGGGGAAAGATTGTGTACTGGGGTGTTTGGTACCTCGGCACAGGTGCCCATGTAGTTGTAGACAGTGAGCGGAATCTTGACCTGCTCCCCACGGATGACGAGAGAGGGCAGCGTGAAGTCTAAGAAGAAGGGCTTGAAGGTCTTCAGTAGGGTGGGCTCGGCAATGCCCAGGCCCTGAGAGGTGGACAGGGCCACAGCCTCAGCCACCCAGCTTGTGATGGAGTCAGGCACCTGCACACTGAGAGTCTCCTCACCAGATGGGTCACTGCAGAGAGATGGACAGCCATGGGGCTTTCCCTGGGGCCGTGCCCCGGAGGCCAGGTGGGCATGGACAGCATAAGCTGTGTCAGGGAGGTGCCCCAGGAGCTTAGAAACAAACGTTTAAAGCACTGTGCAAGTGGATAATGGAAGAGAACTGTCCCTCAGCCCTGATTCACTGGGACAGAAAACGTGAATGTCTCTCCAGGAAACAGAGCATAGCATCACCCAGAACATGGGTTTTAGGGTACAAACTCCAGCAGTACGTGCTCTGTGCCCAGTTTAGGAGAGAAAGCTATCCAACTGATAAGACCCATCACTTAGGGTATCCTCCAAGAAGACTGAGCGAGTTCTTGGACACAGTTAAAATACAGTGGACTCCTCTTATCTGTGGTTGCTATATTTTATGACATTGCCACAGACTGAATTAGCAAACACAGAACAACACTCTTAGGGGAAATACAGGGTTAGTTCCTGTGGGCTCCGGTCACATTTTTGTACACCGATCAATGTCTAACCTTGTTTATGAGCCAGTAATTCCTCTTCTGGGGATATACCCAAAAGAACTGAAAGTAGGGTCTTTAGGGGATCTTTGTATGTCCATACTCAAAGCAGTACTATTACTCACAATAGCCAAAAGGCAGAGGCAACCCAAGTGTCCATGGATAGAAAATGAATGGATAAACAAAATGAGGTGCATCCGTGCGATCAGATACTGTGTATTATTCAACCTTCAAAGGAAGGAAATTCGGACACGTGCTACAACATGGATAAACCCCAGGACATTATGCCCAGTGAGATAAACCAATCAAAAAATGATAAATACTGTATAATTCCAGTTATACAAGGTCCCTAGGGTATCCAAACTCAGGGCCAGGTATGGTGGTGCATGCCTGTAGTCCCAGCTGCTCAGGAGGCTGAGGCAGGATCCTTTGAATCCAGGAGTCCAGGCTACAGTGAGCTGTAATGAAGCCACTGCACTCCAGCACGGGTGACAGAGAGAGGCCTTGTCTCAAAAACAAAATACAAAAATACTCAGAGACAGAAAATAGAATGGTGGGTGCCCGAGGCTAGGAGGAGGGGAATCAGGAAGTTAGTATCTATTGCAGACAGAATTTCAGTTTGGGAAGATGAAAAAGTTCTGCAGATAGACGGTGATGAGTGATGGTTGCACAACAGTGTGAATGCACGTAACACCATCAACCTGGACACTTAAGATGTTAGGATGGGGTAAATTTTATACTTTTCCCCAAAAATTTTAAAAATTGGAAAAAAAGAGAGATCCTCTTCTGGGCCCAGAAAATGCCTCTTCCCTGGTCTCAGACCAGGGTCTGAAGCATCTTTGCTCCAGCCAACAGAGGGGAAGAAATATCCCAATTCCAAATCCCAAATCCTGCTCCAACCTTTCCGTGGCTCTCCACACCTGTACCACTACCCCCCCCCCAGCACTGGGATCCTTTCTGGCTTCTCCAAAGGCTGCCACCATCCTCTCTGCCTCCCAAGTCCTGTACCCAACCCTCCATGGAAAGACTGACCTCCCTGAAACATGAAGACTCTTTGAGCACCTGTCTATTCTAGCTAAAATGAAACCATCCTGAGTGCTGGGACCCTGTCTGCCTCGTTCAAGGAACGATCCTCAGCATCAAAAACACCACACAGCACCTAAAACAGATACATTTGAGGAATGATGGATGGACAGTCTGTCTTACAACTGGGCTGCCAGAACAAAACATGATAACCAGGATTTGTTCTGATCAGAAGTTAAGCCCTCCCATTCTGGGGACATGTGTCCATAAAAGCAGATGAGGACCCTCCAGGGGTGTGCCAAGCTCCGCTGAGCACTTACCACAGCACATTAGACCTAGAAGGACACAGCTCAGCAGTTAGTCTACCCATTGGTCCACACTGAACCAAGGGGCACAGCTTTCATGCCAAATTAGTTTGTCAGGGTAGGCCACTGCCACCTTCTACAAGTATCACTGTGCTCGGACATTGAGCATTGAAAGGAAAAAGCCAATCGCATCCAGCAGAAATTTGGTCCCTGCACTTCTGCTTCAAGGAGAATTAAAGGAGAAAAAAACACAGAAAGGAAATGTGCTGAGAAAAGCATCCTGTTTTCCTTGGTCCCCTGAGGAGTGAGGAGGGTAGAGGGTGAGGTCATGTTCATGTTCCAGGGAACTGTAATCGTTTTAATGAGCTCGTTATGCAAACAGAGCATATAAAGTTACCCCAAGAGGGAGCTGTGAAAGGCACAGAGTCCTCACATTTCATATTTCATGGGCAGATGGCCAAGGTTGCAGCGGGACTCAAGGCTGACTTCATAGCTTTGTTTTATGTGTTAGAAAAAGATGCACAATGTCTTACTCAGATGCTGGTATTGGTCTGCCCGTCCCACTGGGAACTCTCTGAACTTGCATGAGTGCCTTTGAGTCAACCAGCAAAGACAGCATAGGAAAGAAATCTTACTGTACCTGATGTTGAGACAATGCCAAATCCATGTTTCGGGGAAGAAAGTCCTTTTTTTCTTCTCTGCTCTATGAAAATATAAAAATGAAATGATTGAAGTTTCATGGACATAACAAATCTTTTGCCTGGCCAGTTAACATTCTATGTAATTAGATATAATATGTTCACATTCTATTTGATTGGGACATAACATGTTAATCCTCTTACCAGGAAAGCTTAACAGTCTACTTGATTAGGACAGAACTTTAAAAAAATAATAATAAGCCCTTCTCAAAATGTGGCAAAATTAAAAATGGTTACATCCTTTCAATCTTCAATACAGATTCTGCTAGGAATGCATCCCTGAAATACCAACAGACATGGAATGGTTTCACATCAGCACTATGAGAATTAGCAAACAGCCAAATCTCCATCTGGATGGGGACTGGCTAATCCAATGACAGTGTATTCACTGGTGGAATATTACGTATCGGTGAAAAAGAGTGAGGGGAGCCTGCAGACACTGACAGAGAAAGATCTTCAAGTCTCATCATTAACCTAACAAAAGGGAAAGTACATAATTAGGGCATTCTTCTATTATTGTTCTTTAAAAATCCTGTATATGCATAGAAGCAGACTATCTAAGAAATCTGAAGAAGGGAATGGAGCATCTTGGGGGTGGGAAGGAGACTTAAATATTATTATATTTTATTATTATATTATGTTATTATATATAATATAGTATATATACATAATATATATATTAAAGGATATTATATATATTATCCTTTCTTACTTTTGGGGAAAAAATGTAAAACACATTCATAGTGTTAGAAAAATACCTTGTCCTCAGAGTAAGGATGTGTTTTCCAATTATAAAAAAAGCACAAACACTGGCTTTTGAAGGCATTTCTTGTGCCTTTCTGCACTGGGATTTACAACTGTCTTCATGGCTTTGAATTTCAGAAAGGTGTTCCTGTACCTGCTCCAGGCCAAGACCTTAGGAGACCTGCACATGAGTGGGGGAGGGTGGGCCCAAGGTGGGGTGCTGGACAGTGGAGTCCCTTGGACCAGTCCATATTCTACATCCCTTATCCAAATACAAACTACCTATAGAAATGCTTCCAACAGGAGGGAGCCTGGTCTGCCAAGGCCTATGTGGGGTCAGCACCACTCCTGTTAATGTGTGGTCCCAGATGGAAGAGCTGGGAAACTGAGGCACCCAGGAACCACTCTGGAGGGCATGCGGGAACAAAAAGAACATTCCTGATCTTTGCAGAAAGGGCATGAAAGGCTGGGTGCAATAGCTTACACCTGTAATCCTAGCAATCTGGGAGGCTGAGGCAGGTGGATTGCTTGAGCTCAGGAGGTCGAGACTAGTCTAAGCAAAAGCAAGACCCCATCTCTATTAAAAACAGAAAAACTAGCCAGGCTTCGTAGTGTGCACCCGTAGTCCCAGCTACTCAGGAGAGTAAGGCAGGAGGATTGCTTGAGCCCAAGAGTTTGAGGTTGCTGTAAGCTATGATGATGCCACGGCACTCTAACCAGGGCGACAGAGTGAGACTCTACGTCAAAGAAAAGAAAAAAGAAAAAAAGAAAGGGCTTGAAAGATAGTGAGTACTTTCATGGACCAACCAGGCTAGGAGGTTAGGTTCTCTGGGCCACCTGTGGCTCAGAACAAGGGCTGAGGAACCTGAGGCCCACGCTTGACATCTCTGGAGGGACCTCACAGACCACACAGACCACGTCCTCAGCATGCGAGGCTCGCCCCCTTAAAGAGCGTAAGCCAAGGGCCTGCCCTAGAGGCAGGGTTCAGAACACCCCTTCGGAGATGGCTGGCCAAGATCTGGGGTTGAGGAGCAAGTGGAAGAGTAGAGGAATAAAGGGGACAGGAGGAGAGAGGGCGAAGCAGAACAATGTCAAGGCAGAGGAGCAGAGGGAGAGGAGAAGGCAGGAGGCAGGAAGACAGGTCACTTCCTGTAAATCAAAGGTTTGCATGGCTCCAGGGACAAAGCCCCACGTCCAAGGGGGAGAGCTGAGCACCTCTCTCTCTCTATAATCGAGGTTGTAAGCAGGCCAAACAACAAGCAAGGCTGTAGGGGATTTGAACACCACCACCACCAGGCTTGTCCTAGTGTATGAATATAGAGCTTTACACCCAATAATGGGGACTTGGATATTCCTTTTAAGTAGACCCAAGCAAGGCCAGGCACAATGGCTCACACCTGTAATCCTAGCACTCTGGGAGGCCGAGGTGGGTGGATTGCCTAAGCTCACAGTTCAAGACCAGCCTGAGCCAGAGCGAGAACCCATCTCTAAAAATAGCCAGGCGTTGTGGCAGGCACATATAGCCCCAGCTACTTGGGAGGCTGAGGTAAGACAATCGCTTGAACCCAAGAGTCTGAGGTTGCTGTGAGCTATGACGCCATGGCACTCTACCGAGGGTGACAAAGTGAGACTCTGTCTCAAAAAAAAAAAAAAAAAAAGTAGACCCAAGCATTTACAAACACTGACCATAGAGAGAGCCTCCAAAATAAAACCAGAAGATGAACAGCATCCAGATCATGTTCTTTGGCCGCAGTACACATTTGACATGAATTTACAAAACAGAGACAAATAATCGTGAAAATAAATCACTCAAAAATTTAAAACACTCTGGACAAGTCATAGCTCCAAAAGTCATAGTGCCATATGGAAATACTTCCCAGTAGCCAAAGCACTGAGCGCGCAGAGGAAAATTCATAACCCTCTAAAGACTCAAGTGTTTATACCTAAAATAAAGAAGACTGAAAGGTAAATTTGGTGTCTAACTCAGGATAATCAAGCCCCAGCTTCTCACTGTGCCAGGATTTCTCTGTCCACAGACATGTCAGTTCTCCTGATGCAGTTCTTCTGTACCCCCAATCCTGTATGCTGGGGTGGGGCCCAGAACTGGAGGAAAGGGGCATGAAGTTCCCAGCCCGCTAGGCCAATGTCCCCCCACCAGGAGTTGCTGGCCAATGTCTGTCTGAAGACGTTCTGGGTTGCCACACCTGCAGGGGGTGCTCCTGGCATCTGGTGGGTAGACGCCAGGGATGCTGCTCAACACTCTGCAATGCACAGGAGGCCCCCACCACAGAATGATCTGGCCCTGTCATGGATGGAATGTTTGTGATCCCCTCAAAATTCCTATGTTGAAACCTGTTAAGGTAAAGGTATTAGCGGGTGGAGGAGGTGATCAGGTCATGAAAGTGAAGCCTTCATGAATGAGATTAATGCCCTCATAAAAGGGGTCCCAAAGAACTCCCCAGTTCTTTCTGCCATGTGGACACACAGCAAAAAGGCACCATTTATGAAGCAAGAAGCAGGACTTCAGCAGACACCAAATCTGCAGGTCATCTTGGGCTTCCCAGCCTCCAGAACTGCAGGAAACAATTCTGTTGTTTATAAGATACACAGTCTGCAGTATTCTGTCATAGCAGCCAGAAAAGATTAAGACAAGCTCCAAATTTCAAAAGTGCCTAGGTTAGCAAACCTTATTACCTGGGGTGGTACCTGGAAGGAACTGCTGCCATGAGGCTCCCTGTGTGTGGCTGGAAGGCAGGGACAGCTTCATCAGTGTACAGGCCACCGTCCTGCCGGTGGTTCAGGCTCACTCGGTCAGTCATCACCACCAGTCCCATTTCCTAGGCAACAGACAATGCCCAAACCAACGGTGGGGAAGTAGATACCCAGAGCACCCAGAAATGAGTACACCGTGTCCACTAGCTTAACATCAGCACTGGGAGGCCTCAAGGAGTCACTTCTCTGCTCTGGGGTTGGTGGCATGAGCTGAGGAGGTCATGAGATCCAGGGACCATCCAGGCCAAGAAAAGGAGAGGGCAGCACATTTGAACTGTGAACCCAAATCAGCTGGCCCAGGTATAAAAGGCCAGATAGCGTATGACTCTGTGTGAAGTGTCCAGAACAGGCAAATCCACAGAGACAGGAAGCAGATTGGTGGCTACCAGGGACTAGGCGAGGCAAATGGGGAGTGACTGCTAATGGGGATGGGGTATCCTCTTGGGGCGATGGAATGTTCTGAAACTAGATAGAGGTGGTCGCTGCACAGCACTGTGCATGTACTAACTGCTATGGAACTGTGCACTTTTAGTTTTTCTTTTTGAGACAGAGTCTCAAGTTGTCGCTCTGGATAGAGTGCCGCGGCATCATAGCCCACAGCAACCTCAAACTCTTGGGCTCAAGTGATCCTCTTGCCTCAGTTGTTCTATTTTTCATAGAGAGAGGGTCTTGCTTTTGCTCAGGCTGGTCTCAAACCCATAAACTCAGGCAATCCACCCACCTCGGCTTCCCAGAGTGCCAGGATTACACATGTGAGCCATTGCACCCAGCCAGAATTGTGCCCTTTGACAAGGTGAATTTTATATTCTGTGGATTTCATCTCTATTAGAAAATATAATCGATTGGTGCAGGACCTGCCCCAGACACAGGGCCCAAAACTGTGGGTTGCAATGATCACTATTATCATCTTCATCACTGCACTAATTAATTACTGGGAGAAACTGGATTGAAGAGAAGACCCACTCTAGACTGGGCTGACTCAGACTTGTGAATAAGGAATTTAAACCCAGTTGCTTTGACGCAGAGGCATCAACTTTTGATTTCCAAAAGCTGGTGGGGCCCCGGGGTCCAAACTGTTAGGCAGTCCCCACATATGTGACTGAAATGCCACTTTATTTTTTTATTTTTATTTATTTTCTTTTTTGAGACAGAGTCTCACTATGTTGCCCTTGGTAGAGTGGTGTGGCATCACAGCTCACAGGAACCTCAAACTCTTGGGCTCAAGCGATGAAATGTCCCTTAAAAAAATTTTGTTTTTGTAAATATAGCAAAACGTGGCACTTAGGTGATGGGTATGTGGTTGTTGTCTAATTTGTTCAACTTTTCTGTATATTTGGAAATTTTTCACAATAATAAAAGTAGTAAGGGTGAGGGAGGGAAAAATGCCTTTGAAATAATTTTTAAAACTGGGCTGAAAAGCACCCTCCAACAGGACATGCATTTGAGTGCAAGCCCTCGGCATGTTAGGGTGTGCTCCCAGTGTGACCTGAATGGTACTTGTGCAGGGCAGGCCCTCCTTCACCTGAGAACATGGCTCCCTCCCGCTGTTTGACTGTCGCCAGATGCATGGCAGAATCAAACAAAGCCAAGGCAAAGCTAAGAGCAACTGGCGCCCACAGCTTCCATTAGGTTTTCCTTCCAGCAAAGCCCCTCAGTATCATTGCTCCATACCAAGTTCAAGTTACCAATTTGAACCTGGCTATTTGCATACATAACATTCTGCTCTCATTTGCTTTGCAAATAAAGAAGATCTGCTCATGAGATTTCACTGGAGAAAAATGAAAAAGAATCCAGGCTGGATGTGGTGGCTCATCCCAGTATTTTGAGAGGCCGAGGCTTGAGGCCTGGAGCTTCAGACCAGCCCGAGTCACATAGAGAAATCCTACCTCTAAAAGAAGTTTGGGGCATTGTGGTACATGACTGGAGTCCCTGATACCTGGGAGACTGAGCTGGGATTGCTTGAGCCCAGGACGTTGAGGTTACAGTGAGCTATGATCGCACCACTGTAGCCTGGGCAACAGAGCAAGACCCTGTCTTTAAAACAAATAAAAATTCTGCACTAAGAAAAATTTGGAAACTTCTGCTCCAACCCACCTCAGGATCCCTGAGACCCTTTGTGTCTTGGCAAAAAGCTCAGAAGAGGACAGAGGGATCTGAGACCACCTCTCCTTACAGTAAAGGCAAACCCGGAGTCCTTGGTGACACCCCAGGGCCACAGGAAGACTGAGGAGCGCCGGCGACGTCGGGCTGTCAGCCCAGCCCACCAGAAGGGTCCATCCTCCCTGGGCACACCAAAGGCATCAGAAACATCGTAATCTTCCAATTCCTGGAAAACCTGCCAGCAAAGGAGGATAGGGACTGGTCAGCTAAGGTTTTCTTTATAACCGAAATTGGTTCTCATCCATCTAGCACGCTCCTATCCCAGCCTCCTTCCATATAGTTCATATTGTGACAACTTTAAGAGATGGGCATTGGTAGAATTAGCCCATTTTACAGAGGGCAAACTGGAGCCAGAGACAGGACCTGGCCCAGTGTCATGCTGCAAGAGTCTGATGAATTTGACCATGATCTTGCAACTGCACCAAAACAACAACAAGGATTTATTGGGCACCCACTGGGTTCCTTGGGAAATGAACCCAAAGGAGAAAGTAAATCTGATTTCACATCCAGCTCCTCATCCACCGGAAAGGGGGATTGGGACAGGGAGAATAAGAGAAGGAAAGCCCCTCCATGGAGGTAGCTGCTGGAGCCCGGAGGCCAAAGGCCCTGCTCACCTGGGCAGGGGTCAGCCGAAAGCCAGATCTGAGCAGGTAGACACTCTTATCGACAGCAGCGATGCATGCACAGCTGCCCCTTGCAGCCTTTATGTGCAGGTCAACAACCTCCCCGGGTTGGGTCTCATTGGCTGAATATGTCACTGAAACCTGGACATAAATGCAGCAGGTAAATCAATAGCTTAGTCCAATTCATGGTGTCTCTGCTGCCTCACCCAACCAGTCAGTCTTTGCCAGCTCAGCTGGGACCCTGGCCTTGTCATCCAGGTGAAAATTGGTCCCCACTGTGATAGGCAAATTGTCCTTGTGCAGAGGACACAGGAAAAAAGGGAGAGACATGGAGATCTGGGTGTGAGGGGGCCTTGGGGAGGCATGTGCCAGCTGAGAGCATGTGGTACTTGTTCTGATGGTTGCAAGAGAGGGAACAGGGAGGTGAGTCTGCTGCTGGGAACATGCTGAGCACTTCCCTGCATATTAGGAACATAATCGCTGTTTGGGCAACTTTGGGAGATGCTTCAGTAAAGATGCAATTTATGACCCAATAATTCCTAAAGACAGAGCAGCAATCATGAGTTGTGCGCACATGGAGTCTGAGTCCCAGATGTGACAGCCCACCCCTTCACCATGCTGACACCCTGGAGAACCCAGGTGGCATGTGCCCATGCCCCCAGTTCAGTACCCAGTGCTCTACCTGGTTTTCAAAGAAGGTCTCGACTGCAAACTGGAGGCTGTCTGCAACCCCTTCTCCATTCTCCCGGACATAGAAGACCAGCAGTCGGCCAAGGGGGACCATGCTGGGGGTCACAGGTAGCCGAAGAGAGGTCACGCACACGTTGACCTCAGCTGCTGGCGCTGGAGAGGGCTCTGAGGTGAGTCAAGGGTAGGGATAGGCAGTGAATTCCTCACATCCCATGTGCAATCTTGGCCATTCGACCAGTGCTCCAGTTTACTCCACTCTTATCTTCTGTCTATGCCTCCAGACAGTTCCCATCGCTGGTTCTAGAATGTCCTTCCTAGGCTATGCCTCTGGTCAACACTGACACTTCCCATTGGCTAAGCTCTAGGGTCATCTGGGGCTCCTACAGAGCAGGCTGGACTTTGCCTAGAATCACCTGTTTTCCCCTTTCTGCTGAGAGAACAGTCCCTGCTCTGTGACCAACACAGTGCTTCCTTCGATGGCAGCAAAGACATCCTAGTCATCCAGGCAGCACCATCCCAGCCCCCCAGAATACCTCCCTCTGACTGGCCCCGTCCTACTGGGACCTCGGGCAAGCAGACCTGAGCAGCCATTGTTTCTCAATTTGAACCAGGCTCATATTCCCTTCCTGGTGGGTAACAATCCCCAAAGCATACAGTTTATGAGAGAGTATATAAGCCTGCTCTTGTGCTCCCAAGTACTCTAATGCACGACAATGGGAGTATAAAGGCTCCCAGTCCCAAGATCTGTGCAGAGCACAGAGCACCCAGTGGACACAACGAGGGGAGCCCATGGCCACCAGGAGAAAAAGGACCCTCCACTGGCCTTGGGGTTTAAATTCTGGCTCTGTCCCTTACCAGGCACTGGGGGAGTTCCTGAACCTCCCCAAGTCAGAGCTCCTTCACTTGTGAGTGGACACAGTGGGGCTGCCACCACCCCAGGCTGTTATGGGGATTAAATGGGACAGAGTGAGGGAAGTCTGGGCCCAGGGCCCAAGAGCTCTGGACAGCCTGGAAGTCTCTGTTATTTCACCCAGAAGTAAAGGTAAGCCAAACAGTGCACCTACTGTTCCCACAGCACAATTTAGGCAGCAGTTCTCAGCCAAAGTGATTCTGCACCCCCAGGGTACAGTGGCCGTGTCTACAGACATTGTCTGATTATCACTGTTGGGGGCAGGGTTGCTAGCTACTGCCATCTGGTGGGTGGAGGCCAGAATGCTGCTCAATATCCTAGAAAGCACAGGACACCCCCTCAACCACAGAATTGTCTGAATCTAAATTTGATAGTGTAGTGAGAAACCTTCCCTTAGCATGAGAAGTCCCTGTTTATCTGCCAGTTTATCCACCTATCCATCTGTTTGTCCATCCATCCATCCACCCACTCATCCATCTTTATGTCTGTCCATCCATCTGCTCACCCATCCATCTTTCTATCCACCCATCCATCCGCTCACCTATCCATCTTTCTATCCACCCAACCATCTTTCTATCTGCCCATCATTCATCCACCCACCCATCCATCTTTCTATCCACCCATCCATCTTTCTCTGTGTCCATCATTCATCCACCCACCCATCCATTTTCGATCCATCCACCCACTCATCCATCTTTCTGTCAATCCATCTATCTATCCATCCATCCATCTTTCTATCTGTCCCTCTATCCATCTACCCATCTATCTTTCTATCTGTCCACCACCCACCCACCCATCCATCCATCCATCATCTATCTATAACGCTACTGGCATCTAGTGGGTGGAGGACAGGGAGGCTGCTCAGCATCATATAGAGCACAGTATACCCCACCACAGAGAACGACTCAGCCCCAAATATCAACAGTGCTAAGGTTGACAAACTGCCTTAGCATGAGAGGCCCTGTCTGTCTCTCTATCCTGCATCATTCTATTTGTCTATCAGTCGATCTATATATCTATGCCCTCCATCTATCCATCACTCTATTTCAGGGATTCTCACCCAGGGGTGACTTTGCTCCCTAGGGATATTGGCAATGTCTGGAGACTTTTTAGGTTGTTATACTGCTGGGGTACTGGTACTACTGTCACCTGATGGGTAGAGACCAGAGATGCTATTTAACATTCTGCAGTGCACAGGACATCCCTACCCTCAGAGAGTGATCCAGGCTTAAATGCCCATAGTGCCCAGGCTGAGGACCCTGCTTTGGGCTATGGAGGGCTATGAAGACGAGGGGGCTTGTGAAGACCCTGGGGAGGAGGTAGGTCTCATGAGGAGCACATGGGGTCAAGGGAAGGGAGGAAGAGGAAGACTCACAGGCAGGGAAAGAGCCTGGGAAAATAGACAAGATAGCATGGTGTGGGCAGCACAGGAACCCAGCCTGAGGCTGGCCTGTCCCTGTCCCCTGCAATCATGCAATAAGAATAGCCTGGAGTCTAAAGCTTTCCCCAATAGCTGGTCATGACCACCCTCCTGGACCAAGCCTGGTGTCACTCTGGATATGACCCCTTTGCCCTGCAGTGGCTTCCCTCTCTGCTGGGTCTTGGCTCATCTTTCCTTGCTGGGGTGCCCATCTCAGCCTCAGTGGTTCAGAAGGGAAAATAGGAACCTTCTCCCTGCCGCCAGGCTCACCTGTCTCAGAAAGGTGTGTTAAACGAATCAGTTTCTCCAGGGCAGGAGTTGCCCGCTTGCTCCGCTGCTGGGTGATGTGGGCAGGCTGCTGTCCTGAGAGCACGATGTTGCCCCGTGCAGCCACCTCATAGTACAGCGTGAAGCTACAGGGACATGTGGACTTTACAGAAAAATAGGCTTCCTCTCCCACCTGTGGAAGACACACAGCATGGGGGCCCTGCCTGGCACTAATGTTTCTGCTCATTTGAGGAAGGTTGGGATGGCTGTGGGAGGTGTGCTAGCTTTGGGGCAGAGTGCTTTATTCTTTGGATTACAACATATTGAATACTTTTTTAAAAGGTCCATATGTTCATAAGCATACTCAGAACAACAACAAAAAAATAATGGTGGCTCCCAGCTACTGGGGAAGCTGAGGCAGGAGCATCACCTGAGCCTAGGAGTTTAAAGCTGCAATAAGCTATGATGATAGCACTGTACTCCAGCCAAAGCAACAGAGCGAGACCCTGTGTCCAAAAAAAAATTATGGGGAAGAAGAGGAAAAAAAATTTTTTTGAGACAGAGTCTTACTATGTCACCCTCAGTGGAGTGCTGTGGCATCACAGCTCACGGCAACCTCCAACTCTTGAGCTTAAACGATTCTTTCCTCAGCCTCCCAAGTAGCTGGGACTACAGGCGCCTGCTACAATGCCCAACTATGTTTCTGTTGCAGTCGTCGTTGTTTAGCAGACCTGGGCCGGGCTCAAACCTGCCAGCCTCAGTGCATGTGGCTGGCACTGTGCTATGGGCGCCAAGCCCGGAAAATTATTTTTTTAATGGAGGAATATCTGGTCACAATGTAAAGCAATAGTAAAATATAGACGTCACCATCATGAAGCTCCAATGTGATAACTGCAACAAGAATTGTCAGTGATGAAAAAGACACTGGGTGCCTGAGGGTTGCCTCTACATATTAATTTCACCTGCAGAGGGAAAAGGCTGGCAGGAACCAGACCCAAACCAAAGATCAGATCAGCTTCAGCAAGGTAGGGTCCACCCAAATATGATCTCCTGATGAGATGCAACAGGGCAGTGACTGTACAGTAATTTCATCCCAAATTTCTTATAACCTGAACCTAATTCAGAATGTAGAATCATCTACAATGGTGGTCTCCAATCCATGGGCTGCAGACTGGTACTGGTCCATGGCCTGTTGGGAACTGGGCCACGGAGCAAGAGGTGAGCAGTGGGCAAATGTGTGAAGCTTCCTCTCTATTTACAGCTGCCATCACTGGCATCACCACCTGAGCTCCGCCTCCTATCAGGTAAGTGTGGCATTAGATTCTCACAGGAGCATGAACCCCACTGTAAACTGCATGTGTGAGGGAGCTAGGCTGTGCTCTGTGAGAATCTAATGCCTCATGATCTGAGGTGGAGATAAAATGCACTTGAATCACCCCCAAACCATCCCCCTCCCTAGACCTTGGAAAAATTGTCTTCCATGAAACTGGTCCCTGGTGCCAAAAATGTTAGAGACCACTGATCTACAGGACAAATGGGCCAGGATGTTTCACAAAGGTCACCAGGATAAAAGGGCCAGAGAACTGCTCCAGATCAAGGACAACTAAGAAAATGAAAGAGCCAAATGCAACATATAAACGGATCCTGGAAAAATAAAGGCACACATACGGGTGTGTATGCACACAAATCACACAAATGCTCATAACACTCACGCATGTGTAACACACACAAACACCTGTAGTCAGATGCGTGACACAACCATGCAGTCATGCATGTATGTGCACTACACACTAAATATAAGTTACATGTTGAGGACACCCCTGGAAAATCTAAATATTGCCTTGAATTAAACAATATAATGAGTTAATGTAATTTTCATAAGTATGATAATGGCCTTGAGGTCAGGGAGAAGATTGTCTTTATTTTTAGGAAATATTGTGATCAAGTATTTAAGAGTGAAGCATTATCATATCTGTAACTTGCTTTCAAATGCTGCAGCCAAAAATTGTGTAGAGAAACGGGATGGGTGGATGGATGGATGCATGGATGCATGGAAGGTGGACGGATGGATGCACGGAAGGAGGATGGATGGATGGAGGGTGGATGGATGCATGGAAGGTGGATGGATGGACGGATGCATGCATGGAAGGTGGATGGATAGATGGAGG